ACGCGCCCGCCTTGCACAGCCCTCAGCGCCTGCCCGCGCGCTTACCCGTCCACCAGCCCCTGCTGCTTGATGATGCGGTGCGACTCCTCCCTGGAGATGCGGCCATGGAACCAGTGCTGGCTCTTGTGAATCACTGAGGAGGGAGAGAGGGAGGAAGAGAGGGAGGTTGGGTCCCGGCCCTGCGGGGGGCTGCCCGAGCACAGCGGTGTGGCGGGCGGGCCCCTTCCTGAGGCCCGGCGGGCACTCTGGGCGGACGGCGTGTGTAGGGGGTGGGAGCCACACACAGGCAGAGCCCACGTACCGGTGTTGAGGGAGGAGTGGGCGAGGGGGCTTTGGCTGCCCAGGGCGCTCATCCTGGTGCTGCGTCTCTGCAAGGGAAATGCCACGTCAGTGCTGCCAGCAGATGGGCAGGGCCAGGACCCCGTCGACGCCACTCGGGGCGTCCTGCCCGGGGAGGACGGGGCCTGGCCCCTGGAGTGACCGCCTGAGCCTGTCCGCCTGAGCCTGTCTGCCCACGGAGAACAACGAGCTTGCGGGTCCCAGTGGGTAAAGCGGAGCCAGGAGCGCCGTGCAGGCGTGCTCCGGATGGTCCCCCCTCCCCCAACCGAGGCAGGGGCTCCCGTGTGTTTCCCACGGGAGACGTGTGGGGAGTTGGCTAAATCTCAGCAGAAACCACAGGCTCCCCCACTCCCTGCTGCGGGACCCTCCCCGCACGCTCCGAGCTCAGGGAGCGCTTTGGAGCCAGAGTTGCAGCTCCTGCTTCGGGCACTGTCTTCAGACTCAGAGACACGTGGGAGCTGGGTGCCGTTCTTCCATCTGGAGAGCAGGAACGTGAAGGATGGTTCGAGGCCACGGAGCCGCTCGGTGGTGGAGCCACGAGGTGTGGGCTCACCCCGGCCCTGACAAGGCCTCAGCAGGGACCGTCCTGTGTGTGGGCCCCGGCGCCCCTGCTCCTGTCCGGGTCCTTCCTGGGGCGCCCAGGGGACAGGAGGCGGGAAGGGGGTGCTGCAGACCATTCATCTCGATGCCGCCCTCCCTCCCCAACTCCTTACCCCCTGGCCAACACCTAAGAGCCACTGTCCTGGAGCAGCGCGAGGCAGGGGTCCCGCTGGGGAGGGGCTGTCGTACCCTTACCCTCCAGGCGTGTCCTTCCTCCAGGGCTGCGCTCTCAGCCTCATCGGGGTTGTCGATCACTCTTCCGGTCTGCCCGGAGAAGTCCATGGCCACGAGGGAGCTCTCGGAGACGCTGCGCTGCAAGGGGGAGCGGGTCTTGAGCACAGGAACTGCCAGAGCACTTGGGGCACTTGGCACGAAGCAGTCCCAGGCGCCAGGGGAGGGCCCGGGACACCCCTCCCAACTCTGAGGTTCGGGTGGAAATTCAGGGGCAGACAGACGGGCCCTTCAGCGACAATGGGTTTGGTCTCTCCTGAGACTAAGAAATGGCCCCTCCTGTGGGCACGTGAGTGCAGGGACACAGGCCTCTGGTGTGGCGTGAGGGACAGAGGCCCTGGGAAGGGACACAGGCCATGAAGACCTCGCACTGGGAGGAGGAGTGTGTCTGCGCCTCTGGGAAGGCAGCGTCCTGAGAGCCGGGGGGCGCTCCGCTCTACCCTCACCAGCGAAGGGCCCAGCGGCATGGCCAAGGGCACCCAGGTCTCAGGGCCGGAGGCAAAGGTGAGAGGGCAGCCCTCAGGGAGTCCAGGCCGCCACTGCCCCCTGCACGCTGAGCGGAGCATCCACCTAACCGTCCGGGGGCTGCGGGTGGGACAGGGATGGCAGCAGCCCCTGGGACAGGGGGTGCGGGGGACAGGCTGGCTTCTCTGGGACCACAGGCCTGCGCTCCCCCCTCCCCCGTAACCCCGACTGCACGAGACATGGGGGCGGCTGTTTGTGAAGAGCGGATGGGACGACACGGTCCACTTACCACGGGCCCGGAGAGGGAGCTCAGGTAGGCCGCCTTTCTGTGGTGGGGGAGCCGGTAGTTCTGGTAGAGGGTCATTCCATACTGCGGGCCAGAGGCAGAGTTAGCGCCGGTGTGTGTGTGTGGGGGGGGGGGGCTGGAGCCCCTCAGGGCCCCTCACGCCCAGTTCACTTTGCTTTTCCCAAAACAGGTCATACATGTGCACACCAGACACATCACCCAAGTACGGGGGACCTTCACCGTCGCCCCCCACCTCTGCTCACGTCCACGGCCACTCTGCTCTCCCCAAATCTCTACTTTCTCCGTCCACTAGCGTCTACACCAGTGGTTCCCAGCGTGGGGCACACGTCCCACGGGGGGCAACTGGACTTTTAAGGGGGGCAATTCGAGAGCGAGTTATTAACCGTGAATTTTTTGCATTCCTTATGGTTCTAGGGGCCTCATAGACAATATGTAAATATATGCTGCGGCATATTTATGCGTTTCAGTTCTCTATGATGTTTTGAAACTTTATTTGCTATTTTTTCCTATCACTTCGTATTATTTTTTAAACAAGTCCTTAGGACTTCCACTGTCCTTTCCTTCTTTTATTTTCCTCTTTCATGGATGCCATGTTCTTTGGAAGCTTGTTTAGACCAAGTGAATGGCCTTTTAGGCTTCCTCCATGTGAACAGGAGCTCGCTGTTTGAATAATTAGGATTCTGTGTCATGGTGGGGAGAGGGGGGTCAGGATTTTAGAGATGCTTGGGGGGGGCATGGCCAAGAGGAGGCTGGGAAGCAGGGGCTCCACGTTACAGAAAACAGGTTTCCACCCCCTCCTGCCCCAGTGCGCTCTGCACACACTGCTCTGGGCTGCTCTGGGCTGCTATTCCCGCTGTGTCCACAGGGGGACCCAGCGAGCTGCCTCCTGCCTTTTGGCTGCAGAGCGCTCCTGTGGATGTGGATGGACGCCCTGCAACGCCCTCAGCCAGCCCTGACGGACGTTTAGCTTCAGAAGTGGCCTGGGAAGGAGCCGGACACCCCATCTCAGCACCACCGTTTCTAGGAAACGGTAAGTTATAATTTTGGACCCTCCGCCTCAGTGGCAGACATCACACAAACCAAGGTTTGGGGCAGAGACGCGGGACCCCGTGCGGGGCCGTCCCGTGCGTCCCGAGGGGAGTCTGTGCTGAGCCTCTGCTGTGGCTCCACCTGGAGTCTGCCCCGCTGGAAGCAGTGGGGGGCTGGGGGCTTAGTGATGAGATTCCTGGACCACGCCCTGTGTTGGCGCCAGGTCAGCGAGCCAACTTCCCTCCTCCTGATCAATCACGGGCGTGGGCTTTGTGAACACAAGGGCTGGGAGGGACGTGGGGTCCGAGGGGTGTTTGCTCCGACGAGTGTGGGGATGGGAGGTGAGGGGGGCTCCCCCATCCCAGGCGCCCTGTTACTGAAGAGCCTGGGACTCGCTGTGGCCCCTGCTGAGAAGCTGCGGTCTGGGGCACAATCCCCAGGAGTCCCACCCCATCCACTTCCTTAGAACTCACCGCCTGGCGGCACCCCCTGCCCTGGCCACCGCTCGGCTGTGCCGCGGAGTCACGTGCGCCTGGGGACCCCCGGAGTCTAAAAGTTGGCCAGGAAAGCAATCCACCCTCCCGCGAGCTCCCTGTGCCCGACTCCTGGTCCTTCTCTCTCTCTTCCCATCGCTCTCACCCACACCCTGGCCCTCCCCCTGCCCCTACGCCCCGGGCACACGTGGTAGCGCCTAGAGGCACTCGAGGTCGGCTCACCTAGTAGGGGTGCTAGGGCACCGAGTGGGGAGACCAGGGGTGCTACGTGTCCCACCTGCACGGGCCCACCCCCACCCCGTGTGCAGTGCCCAGGCCGGCCCCTGGCTCTGCCCTCCCCCTGGGAAGCCTCTGGGAGAAGCTCCCCCAACCCCCCGACGATCAGAACCCGGGCGGAGCAGGGACAGGGGCCCGTCCGCACCTTGAGCAGCCGGAAGGCGGTCATCCAGCAGATGCGGCCCTGCTCGTCCTCCGCGCACAGCACCCGCAGCTCCTTTGTCTCCTGCAGGACTTTGTTTGGCTTTTAAAGGAGGTAAAGGAAGACGTGGTGAGTGTCCCAGAGCCAATCAGAAGCCCGCCTCGGGCTCAGGCAGACCGGAGCTGCACTCACACACACAGATTGGCTGGGCTCCCCACAGGGGCCCCTCTGAACCACCACGCCCTCCCCGGGGCCTCTGCGCTCCCCCAGGACGGACACATCCTCACACACAGGAAATCTCTTTACACGGATGAATCGATCCAGTGTGAAAGCATGTTACTGGTTTTAGAAGAAAGCAGCAAGCAAGGGAGAATGCACAGTTTGAATTCCAAAGCGGCCAGCGGGGCCCACGCTGGCTGCAGCGCCACAGGGACGGAGGTACCTTCAGGCAGAAGCCGAACTCCGTGGGGGTGTGGTACTGCTTCTTGCCGGAGATCACAGAGAAGACGCTGCAGTCGTCCAGGTCGGCCAGCAGCTGCAAGTGCCGGGGCTCCTGAGAGGGAGGAGGCGGCGTTTAGCTGGGACGGGACTGGCTGCTCCTGTCCTGGCCGACAGAGGGCAGGCTGCGCGCCTCCCGCAGACAGAGACATTCCACAGGGCACAGCCACGTGGAAGAGAACCGCTGAGTGAAAACCCAAGTCGCCCTGCCCCCACCAGAAGCCCCTCCCCATTCCTAGACAGAAGACGGCAGAACGGACTTGGCACTCTGCCAAGTCAGAGCCCGGAACCAAATGTCCGAAGTGCAGAGGGGGGGACTCTGAGCCTGAGGTCAGCACAGGCTCCGAGGCAGGTCCCATGCCACCTCCCTGTGTGGGCAGCTCCCACAGCTCCCCCCCCCCCCTCCTCTCCCACCAGCTCTGCCTCCAGCTCCAGCACACAGGTCCCCAGGCTCAGCGTCTCCAGGATAGTGAGTGAGCCAGGCGCCAGAGCCAGGCACTGGAAAGTGACTGCCCATCTCCATCAGAGGAAAGACACTCCGCAGAGGAAGGAGCCCCGCCGCCCACGCCCCTTCTCTCTGGCCTCTGCCCCCGCCCCCAGCTCCCCCTCTGGGCCGACACCCCTGGAGCAGCAGGAAACCGGGCTGATGGTCAGCACCCTCGCCAGGGGTCCCAGCCTCGCCTCCCTCTTCCTCCAGACAAGAGCAGAGACCTCAGCTCTTAAGAGGTAAATGCCCGGCCAAGGCCACTGGGCCCGGCTCCCACTGCTGGGTGGACATGGACACGAGGAGGTGCAAAGGCCCACGGGGACCTGGCTCGCTCTGGAAGCCGGCAGCTGCCTGCACCTCTCCTGCCCTCTTCCCAGTGGGGATGCATGCAAAACGGCATTTATTCCCTAAAACGTCTGTAACCGCATGAGTCCCCTCTGCCTCAGGATGGAGCAAGTCCTCAGCCTCCAGCTGGCTGGGGCCCGAGGGGAGGGGTGCAGCCTGCAGGCTCTAGGTCTGTGTGATCACCCACTGTCTCAGCCGGAGCCCAGGTAGCCAGGAGCTCCCAGGGGCCCAGGGAGCATGCAGAGGGAGGCCCCACCCACTCTGCACCAGGCCTGCCGGTGGCGCGGCCGGCGTGGCCAAGCTCACCTTAGAGGAGCCCTTGGTGGAGCAGTAGAGGCCGGACCTGCGCAGGCACAGGTACATCTTCTTCCAGGACTTGCGCCCCAGCTCCTTCACGTGCAGGAACCCTTGGATCTCGGGGCAGCTGCTGGTGTTCAGGAAGTTCTGCGAAGGGCAGGTGTGGGAGTCAGGGGCTCAGACACGGTCACAGATGCGCGACCAGCTTCCCTGACGCTGGCATTTTCTGAGTGACCAAGTGACTGTCTAGGGGTCAAGGGGGATTTTCAAACGATCAGCTTCCTTTTAAGTCTCCACCGCTCTGTCTGACTGGTGCTGAGGGGCCAGAATTCGCGTTCAAGTGGACCCTGCAATGCAGACCAGGCACAGGCCCCGCGTCCCTGTGACAGCAGAGCCGCCCGTGTTCTCACCTCCACGACATCTGACCAAAAGCCCCCCCACCAGCGCAGGCGAGGAAGTGCCCTGCCTTCCCTCCCTGGGAGCCCCGTGTGCATCTGCACACCAGCTCTCCCAGGACACCTGGGGGACAGCCAGTGCCCAGCGGACTCCTCCCCTGGGAGAGGCCCAGAGCCTCTGGGGGTGAGGCCGGGAAGGACTGGACTGAGAGGGGACACGTGGACAGTTTGGATGCACCTGGGCCCACCCTCCAGAGCCACTTCAGACCAGGCGCTTAGAGCAGCCATCAGCCTCGCGGCCAGGGCTGTGCGTGGGCCACGACTAATAAACGCTGCTGGGGCCGGAGGGCCTGGACAGGGCTCCCAGGGCTCCCAGGGCTCCGAGGCTCCTCTCGGGGGCAGAGATGCCTGGTGACCAACCAGCAGAAAAAGAGGGCTAGGGGCTGGATCCTGCCGGCCCCCTCCCATGGCTCCTCTTACACTGGGTGGAGGCGGCAGCATGGCCGCCTGCAGGCACGGCTCACTGTCATTTACAGCTGCACATGCACCGAGGGCAGCAGTGTGTTCCCTCTTCCGTTCCCGCCTTCCCTGGAGCAGCATGAGCCTCCTGAGGCCAGTGCTCCCCCCACCGCAGGGGTGCGGAGGCCTCGGTTTCTAGGCCCAGACTTGACCAATCAGACGAGCGTGCCATGGGCTCTGTGATGAGCTGAGAGCCCGTGGCCCTCCATCCTGCCCTTGCCCGCCTCCCCCTTCCGAGCCACGGCAAGTTTGTCCTGCCCACAGGGCTCTGCTCGCTCTGGAGGAGCCGGCCTCCGGCGGATTTCCCGCGTCAGCATGAATTTCTCGTTTCTCTAAACTCCATCAGGAACTGAGCTGATCCGTGATTAAGAATGGAATAGCTCCAAGTTTTTGCGAGGCCGTGGCAGCTCCAGGGAGGACTCCGGTCTGGGACCCTGAGGCCCGTCGGCCCAGTACCTGCAGGAGCTGGTTCTGACCACCGTTGGACTGCTGGCACCAGGTGACCATCTGATCCGGGAAGAAGTTCTGCAGAAGCGGGAAAACAGACGCCAAAGGTCAGTTTGGGGTGGGGAAGACCATGCTCACAGGTGTGCGGGGCGGCCACCCCCACAGCAGTCACATCCGCCCGCACTGTGCACGCCCTCCTGTCCCGTGGACATGGAGTGCCTGCTGCTCTGCGCCTGCCGGGCTGCACGTGAACGTGCGCTCAAGGCTCAGTGGCACCGAGGCAGAGGGCTGCCACGGTCCCAACTCGTGACGCGAGTCACAGCACGAGCCACACCGCTCCGGACGCTCGGAGGTGAGTGGTCACGCGCCGTCTGTTTGGGGTGCACCATTTCTCACTTCTGCATGCAGAGCAATGAAGCCACCAGAGCGAGTGGGCCCAGCCTCCTGCCCGGGTCCCCCTCTGCCTCAGGACCGTGCAGAAGCGCACTGCGCAGGCCCAAGGCCTGTTCTGGTGTTTCACCAGACAAGCACCCCCCGCACCCAAACCCCCCAAAACCAGGAAAGCCAAGACACACCCGGGAGACTAGTCAACACGCCTGGATGGTCACTGCTCTACTTGTCCTTCCACAGAGGACCACCAGGTGAGTAAGCTCTCACTCTGCTGAGCCTCGGGCCGATCTGCTGCAAGGCCGGAGCCTGCGCACCTATCCCCTCCCCGCCGGGCAGAGCGTGAGCACGAGTGAAGGTGCTTCGCTACACCGCGACCCCAAGGCCCACTGCCCGCTGCCCTGAGTCCCGGGTACACTCCGCTCTGCTCCTATGAAATCCAAGTGCCGATGGCAGGACCCCGAGTTCCGCCCCCGAACTGAGGAGACAGGACTCACGGTGGGATTTTTGAAGAACTCATATTTGCCATAATTCTTCCTGAATAAGAATTTGCTTTCGCCGGCCATGGTGCTGTCCACCTGGGCCACCAGCTCATGGTCTTCCAAGCAGCGCTCTGGGAGGAAAAGCGTTGCGTGTGAGAAGGGAGCGGACACGCAGGACCTTAAAGGCAGCTTTACACACAGCCACACCACCTGGCCGGCTCTCCTGCCACGGACATGGCAAGTGAGCGAAGAGGTGGAACGGAGCTCCATGCACATCTCCCTCGAACGCTCTGCCGAGCGCGGGAGGTGGCGAGACATGGACAGGAGGCTTCCTCTCCACTCGGCGCTGACACCAAGGGAAGAAGACAGTCACACCCTCCCGGCCAAGGCTGTGCCTCAAGTCAGAGCTGAGCACCGGCCACCACAGCTGGAGCCACACACAGACCGCAGAGCACGGCCCTGGGTGCGTGTGGGCAGGGGGCAGGGGGCAGAGGAGCCGAGGGGTGCCCTCCTGGTCTGAGGCCCTTGGTCCCTACACCCAGGAGAGGGCTGGGAGGGAGGAAGGGAACTCTTGGGGAGATAGAGAAGAGGCTGAGGCCACGGCGGTGGCTGCACGCGGAGCGCGGGTGCTGCCCCTACCGATCCCCAGGTGGGGGTGGAACTCCACCAGGGTCCAGCTGTTGTCGTCCACGCAGTGGCTGCGGTACACCAGCAGCTGGCACAGGTCCCGGGACTTCATGTCCACCGGAATCTCCACCACCTTGCAGGTCCCGTCCTCACCGAAGATTTTAACATCCTGCAACAGACGGGGCGCTCACAGGTGAGCAGCTGCAGGGAGTGGCTGGTCTGTCTGATCTCCACTTTTAAAACTTGTATTATCCAAACTTCTGACAAAGGAAAGCTAACACCACGTAGCGTGTCCCTGGCTCTCGGAGCCCGTTTCAGGTGCTGCAGCCACTGGGGGGGGGCACCAGGGCATTTCACCTGTTTCCGAAGAGACCGAGCAGGCCATCTAAAAAAGCTAGTTCTGTTTTTAAATGAGTTACGGAAAAGTAAACTTAAAAGGTGGGCTTATTAAGAAATAAAAACGGAACAAAATAAAACAGAAAAAGTAAGGCCCGAGGTGCTCCAACATATGTATCACTGTCCCCCCAGCAGCTGGTCTGTAGAGCGTCGCCCGTCCCCCGTCCACCACCTCCCACCGCCACCCCTGCCCCGACAGCCAGGAGCCCAGCAGGGCACCCTCCACGCGCCCGGGACACTGGGGACAGGCCCGCGGCCAGGCCTGAGGGACACAGGGCTTCCCCACGTGCTGTCTCAGGAAGCAGGGCGTGTGTCAGGGACGTCGGCGGCTGGGGTGAGGCCCTTCACAGTGCGGCCAATTGCAGAATCCCTGCCTCCTGTGGCTCCACTGCCCTCGCTGTCCGGGGCCCAGCACACCCGCCCCCCACCTTCTCCCGTCTCGTGTCCACTAAGGCTCAGGGAGAAGCTGAGAAGGATGAATGTGAGTTCACTGAAATGTGAAATACTAAAGAGACACGTGCAGTGACAGCACAGTCACAAACGCTGTGGCCCCGTTTTCCGGGTCCTGTCCAAAGCCCTTCAACCGGAGGGCCCCCCGGCAAAGGGAGGCCGAGGGAGCCTGGGGGGCTGTGAAATACACTCTGTCCAGCAACACACCCTCAGCCTCACGGGGAGCGCGAGATGCTGAAAAAAATCTCACCCCAACAGCCTGGAAAAAGCAGGCAGAGGAACAAGATGGCATTTTAATACTTGCTGCCTCTTGAAAGGGAGTCTGTCCCCGGCCTCTCCCACCCTCCTGTGGGCTGGGCCCCCTCCCCGCGGACCCACCAATCCTGGCTGTGGGGAGCGGTGGGCAGGCTGTCTCCAGGCAGACAGGGTGCTGCCCAGGCTCCTGGGCTCAGTCCTCTAGGTGGTAAATCAAGCCACCTGGGCAGCCAATCAGGTCCCTCCCTGGGCCTCTGCGCCCGCCCCCTGGCTCCCACTCCATGGAGGCTGCAGCTGCCTGCAGAGGTGGAGGTGGCCACTCCAGGGGAACCACTGAGCTCAGACCAAAATGCCAGGGAGTCCCTGCGCCTGTCCCGGGTGCTCTGGATCCTGCCCTTGGCCAAGTCTCTTAGAAGTCAGCGTCCCTGCGCCTCGTGCCCCCGTGGCGGCGTCAGGCCCTGACACGCTGGCCACAGCTCTGCTCCGTCACCTTCCTCCTGTCTCCCTGACCAAGCGCACATTGGTGTGCATTTCTACTAGAGGTCTCTGGCAGGAGAGGGCTGATCGCGACGAAGTCCCACTGTCCCCCACCCGCCCACAGCTCCTGGCCTGAAGGAGTTAAGCTCACTCAGCCCTGAGCTCCCAGAGGGGGGAGGCTGTGGGCCGGGGACCACCCTCCAGGTGGGCGGGTCCCACCTCTCAGCCGCCCCCCATCTCAGAAACCCCGGGGGGAGGGGGCTAGAGCAGGGCTGTGGAGCCTGCTTTCAACTCACATTAATTTTTAAAGAAATTCACCCATCTTTTTCCAGAATTTACATCTCACTTAACGGAAGTTATACTTTTATAAAACACATTAAATATTCAAATACAGCTGACATGATGGACTCTATAAAAATAAAATTTAAATAAAGAAAATACCTCTTTGGTCTCTATATAGAAACTTTTCTTAAAACTGCTTCTACATAAAAGAAGAACAAATTTAAAAATGCAAACAAAGCCATATAATCCCTCATCATATAATAACAACAACAATGATAATAATAATATGCTAACTGTATTACAGACCACGGCTTCTGTGCACAGCACCTTTTCAACTACAAAACCAGTGTGTTCCTAATTGTCCTTCTTTCCTAACTTCCTAAGAGGATCATCTGTGATTACAATAAACGTTATTTTCTCTCGAAATTCAAATTATGCTGAAGTGTGTTTTGCACCTAGGAGTCCATTTATCACTTTTCCTGCCCAAACTGGCCCTGGGGCTTTTTAAACCGCCCCCTCCCCCCTCCCACACACACACACACACACACACACACACACACACACACACACACACTCTCCTCCAGCTCTCTCCTGACCTCCTGCTGTGCCAGGCCACCCAAGGTCTATATATAGTCTGGGTATTAAAAGCTGAGACCTGCTTTGTCACAGGGCCATGTCCACCGATTCCCAGGGCAGGCCGGGCTGGGGACCGCCTGGGGGCAGGGGAGCGGGCCTGCTGCCGTCCTGTGGCCGAGACAGACAAAGGGACGCATGGTCCAGCCACAAGACCTGGAACCCACGCTGCCCGCCCTGTCCCTGACGCAGGGCACGTCCGCATACCCAGCAGGCCTGCTGACAGAAACCTAGAAAGCCACTGCACGTACCAGCAACTTCAAAGTGGGCATGGGGTTGGAGCTACAGAGACAGTATTTCTAATAAATACACAGGCACAAAGGAAGTGCTACCGGTACGGCCCGCCACCGGCCACCACACCTTCGAAAGCCAGAAGTTCCAGAGGGAGCACTGTGCGCCCAGCCACAGGGGGCTCATTGTGGAAGCAGCTAGAGTGTTCCAGGCTTTGGTGCCCCAGCCTGGCCGAGGGCCGCTGGGAGCAGGCTGCGCCCCAGTGAGGCCTGCGCAGGGCGGCCCAGCAAGGCTCTCAGGCAGGCCCAGGCCTCTGCCTGCCACAGCTCAGCGGGCTGGGAGCAGACCTCGACTTGGGCAGTTTCCCAGGGGATGACCTGTCCAGGGACAGAGACCCGGGTGACGTTAGGGTGGGGAAGACGCGGAGGGAAGACTCCCAGTGCCAGCGCGGCTCAGCGACCTCAGGCAGGTGACTGGCTACCTGGGTCTCACTTCCCCCCATGCCCTGGGGCTGCTGGGAGAGCCAGCAATGCTGGGAAGCACAAAGCGCAACAGGTGGGACCTGCGGAGGCTCCACGCTCAGCCTGGCCGAGGGACCCCGCCGCGCTGTGCCTCAGTCTCCTTGTCTGCAAAATGGGAACCTGTGAGTAACACTGGCTCGTGACGTCAGCCTGGCCTGGCTAATGACAGCCACTGCTTTCTGCGCCCTGGGGTGCACTCGAATGCAAATGGGAATACAGACGTGGGAACAAGGCAGGCACAGGGAGAGGCCCCGGGACCCCGGCAGCCGCTCGGCTCCGAGCTGCTCTGACTCTGAACTGGTTTGCAATTCTGAGAACATCAGTTTCTTGCCCGTAAGATGGAGCGGCAGCACGTCAGCCGGAAAAGTGGACCAGAACCCTGGCCTTTTCCCCCTGCGGTCACCAAGTGGCTAATGGCCTTTCACAATAAAACCCTGATATTAAATGGGGCACGTGATGTCACAGCAGAGCCTCTCTTCAGAGTCAGGTGGGGGTGGGCAAATGCTTTCCGGCTCCCGCCTCCTGCTGGGCGTGGCGCTGCTGCCTGGCATGGACCCCTGAGCCCCAGGCGACGCAGGTCCACCCTGCCCGGGGCTCTGGTGCTGCTTTTCAGACACGCCTCGTACAGACTGAGAAGCAGAAGCTCACACGTGTGCCAATGGAACGGCAGGAAATGGATAACAATCAGGGCTGAAGGCCCATCATCTCCACAGGCCCACACTACATTTTGGGGAGCCTGGTTTTTTGTCTCGGGGTCCCCAACGGGTGGACTCCCGCTTCAGGCCCGACACACCGAGCCCGCTGACCTGGGACCTCCGGGCTCTGGCCCAGGTCACCTGGTGAACACAGAAACGGGGCTCTTAGCTCCTCGCACCAAGCACCCCCGTCCCCGTGCGGGATGGACAGCTCTGGACGGAGAGCCACCCTGTCCGCGGAGGGAGCCCAGGAGAGGCCCTGGGTTCTACTGCACAGACACCAAAGAGCTGGGAGCTCCAGGCCAGTTCTCAGCTCTTCACTTTCATCACCTCCAAGTGAGGATGTGAGCTGGGCCCCTCAGTCACTCAGAGTCTCTTGTAAAAACGGGGGGCTAGATGCTTACGGAAGAGCCAACCTGGGTCCCAGCAGCCGGGAGGGGACCCGGGAGGGGGGTCAGCGGGGGAAGCAGGCTGACTGCCAGGGGGTGGGGGCAGCTGAGGGAACTGGAGGAGCGTCAGCTGCGCCTGGCAGGTGGGGGGGAGGGGCGGCTGGGACAGCCAGGCCACGCCAGGGTCCAGCGCTCCCTGCAGGCAGCTGTCGCTGCCCCCCCCCAGATGAGGTAAGGAAATCTGGGAGGCAGAATGGCTCGTCCGGTCCAAGAAACGAACCCGGGGGGGCCAGGCTCTGAACCCAGGGCGCTGGGCTGCTGGCCCCTTCCTGCCAGCAAGATGTTCAGCACGGGACTCCCCCTGCCAAGAGGGACCCCAGCTTCCCAGGACACACCAGGCGGTTCCCTCTGGGGTGCCCTGGAGGCCCCAAACAGGCAGGCCTAGCACGTGCGGAGGAAAGTAAGCTTACGTCAGACCAGAGCAGGACCAGGGTGAGGCTAGTCAGTTCGGTGAGAAAATGTAGTTCTGCTGATGTTTCCAGTCCTGCTCTCCGTCAGCCCTGCTGCTGCGAGCCGCGAGGCCTGTCACGGGAGCTCACCGCGTGCGCACGTGGCTCTGATCACAATCACCGTCCGGCCCGCCTCCCCGCCTCCGACGGACTCTAAGAGAACCATCTGCCTCACAGCCTCCTCATCGCAAGGTCTCAGTGAGAACAGAAAATATGGAGCCTTTGCAAGTCCCTCGTAAAGAAGCTAAAGCTCTAAAAATAACCTGCACAACCGTTTCTGGAAGTCAGCCAGGACTTCAGAGTCCCTGGGCGCTGCCCCGGAGGAATGGCGCTCACCACCAGGGCGGCGACAGGGCCCAGCACGGAGGCCGCCGGCCTCTGCCTGCTCCGTCCCCACCAGGTGGGCTTGCTTGCAAGAACCAATTTTGATCTGTTCATCTGTATCTTTTCAGCTTTTCTAGAATGGATGTGTACGGCCTGCTACTCTGACAAAAGCAGTTTTTATAAAGGTGTTCTACAGAAAACCAGAATAAGGGCATCTTGAAAACCTCCCTGGGGGCCTGAGGGGAGGAGCAGACCCCCCCCCCACCGCCCTGGAGCTGAGTGCAGGGTGCGGCCGCCCTCCAGGCCTCAGCTTGCTCCAGGGGCACAAGTGCCACCCCAGCGAGTCTGCAAGGAACTCTCGAGGGCTCCTAGCGGGGTCCCTGCCAAGCACAGGCAATGCCCTCTAAACTCGGGGTCCCCACCACACGATCGGGGTCCCAGCCCACAGACCTGCCCAGTGGCACATGCGGCAGGGGTGGCAGCAAGGGCGCCACGTCGGCGTGGGCCTGTCTGCCAGGCGAGGCTGTGCTCTCATCCCCTACGAGTGATAAAGTGCGAAGTGGACGTGCGTTTGGCTCACTGGGTCCTGCTGGTTGGCTCAGCAGCAGCTGCTGCCCGTCGGGCAGGTCTCTGGGTGGGGCTGTCACAGCTGCTGCTGAGAACTCGTCAGTGACCAGCCCTGAAGGAGGGGGACAGGCCTGCAGCGTCCCCAGGGCTGGAGCTGGGGCTCTGGGTGCCGCCGCCTGGGCTCCCCAAGCCAGGGCTTCTCCCAGGAGGAGAGGAGAGGCAGGGACCCGCAGGGCCACCCAGAAATGGCCAAGGAAAAGAAATCGTCTTTGTTGAAAGAACTTCCTCAGAGAGTTGGTAACTAAACGTTTGTTCCATTTGCATATTGTAATCTTAAAAGCCAACAAAAATGGTTTATATTCTTTCTCTAGAAAATCGTCCAGGGAAGCCACATGACTGGCTGTGGTGGCCAAAAAATAGAGGAGGATTGAGTGTGACCCTCCCTCCGAATTCCAGAGGAGAGGAGTGGGGGTGGAGACAGGAGTCCACGCTGCAGCTGCAGCAGCTGCTCCCAGCAGGCCACGTGTGCAGGCCAGCAGCCTGGAGGTGTGGAGGGAGGCCTGGGGCCTGGGGAGGGCTGGGCGGAGAGAAGAGGGGAACGATGGGGAGCGAGGGGCCCCTGGGAGGGGATACAGCACACACTGTCTGAGTCATCCCCTGGCCCTCGGACTCCGGGCCCCTCCAGGGGTGGGGCCTTGGGGGGGTGAGGAAGTGGCAGCTGTCCACCCATCACTCACAGAAAACAGGCAGCAAGGGGAAGGCAGGAAAGGGAGCCAGTGGGGGGGAGGGGGGCGAGGAAAGAGGATTTTATGTTCTAAAACGACAGGGACATGCTGGTGAGTCTCGGGCTGACCCTGGCTCTGGGACGGCCATCGTGGCCATTCCGGGATACAGCTGCTCCTGTCCTGCGGGAGCCCGAGCCCTGCTCTCCGGGATCCTGGCAGACACAACCCTGCGACTCTGCCGAGTGTCCAAATGTGGGAAGAGCAGGCGCACAGCTCCCCCGCTCAGGGCCCCCGGGTCCCCCAACACGCGGGTTCGGCTTCAGTGAACCCCTGGTTCTAATGGATTCTGACCTCGAAGGCACCAGAAAAGGCGGGGTGGGCACCCTTTGCAGGGGCTAAGAAGAGAGAGCTGGACGCGTTGGCATGAGGGCTGGGGGGGGCACTGAGGAAGGAGGGGTCTGGCTCCAGGACGGGCCATGGAGGCCCTGACGGGGGGAGGGGGGGGTGAGGCAGGCACGTCGTCTCCACACCGGCACTCGCTGGGAAATAACCTGTACTTGGCAACCGAGGGTAGTTTTTCTCGCCAAAGATGGTCTGATGTCGAGGCCCATTCATTAAATCTTCAAGCCTCAGGAGACCCAGTTTTGCTCGTTAGTAAATGCCTGTCAAAGCCCTACGCAAGGCAATTAATTCACTTCCAGAAAATTAATTTTTAAAATTAAGCAAAGAGAGAAGAGCTGATTTGGAGCAAAGACAATATTTATGCCCTATTAATAATGGGGTTAAAATATGTGACTAATTGTGTTTACAAAACAAACGGGAAAACTTGCTGCAGCAAGTCCCCGTGCGGCTGCGCGAGGACCTTCACTGGCTGGAAGGCCCGCCCGGCCACGTGGTCCGGAGCACTCCTGAGTGTGCACTGCTTGCCCGACTTCAGAAATCGGGGCTTCCTGTGCGTTCCTCTCCAGCCCCTCCGTGGCCCTCCTCCCCTCCTGTCCCCCAGGCAGCTGGCCCACTCACACGTGTCCCCTGCTTCCTCTGAATGTGACTGTCCCTGCCGTCGAGCACCAAGACCTGACTCTACCCCCTGCTGGCTCGCCCACATACACACGCCCGTTTCCCTCTCCACCGCGTCATGTCTGTGGGGCACTGGCCCACTCCCGTGTGCGGGACAGGCCTCCGTGCGGAGGGGACCCCGGTTCCAGATCACGGAGCCCGGCTGCCCAGGGCCTCTGCCTCCTGCCCGGATCTCAGGCACAAGAAGTGCACTTCCTCCCCCCTGCAGCCAATAGGGCCTCCAGTTTCCTGCAGCCAAAGGCAGCTGAGAGCACATGACGCAGAGCCCTGCCCTGCCCCGGGAGGAAGCCCAAACAGCGCATCTCTCTCCGAGTGAGCCAGGCCCCTGGCATCGCACGGGCCTGCAGGCTGCGCCCAGGAGAGGGTGGCCAGGCTGCTTCCTCGTACTTGGTGTGCAGAGGCAGGACATCGACGTCCCCTGTCCCTCAGGCGTGTGGCACAGAAGGAGCCCAACCTCCTTGCCCACCACAGTTCCAGGCTGGGCAGGAACCCACGGCCGCCTGCCCACCACGACCCACAGTGCCAACGCCACCTGCTTTGCACAAGATCAGGTCAGAGCACCCGCCCCTCCGAGAACACAACCTGCAGCTCGCTCCATGCCTGCGGGTCTCCAGGGCCCGGAGGAATCTGTGTGACAGAAACACAGACACCAACACCAAGAAACACGGGGCCAACCCAAGAAAAGCAGCAGGCGGAATTCCTGGGTTTCCTGATTCTCCTTCGAGTTGGACAGTCCGTGGGGGTGGAGGCCAGGGGCTTGCCAGCCGCCGCGAGAGCCAGATAATATTTTCACGGCCTTATTTTAGGATGAGTAACTTTGTAAACAGCCCCAGTGACCAATCCACAGACAGCTTGTCTAGACCCTTATTTGAAGCAGAAGGTCACCAGGGAGGCAGACGTCCCGAATGGGCTGCAGGCATGTGACAAAGGGCCGCGGCCTGGCAGCTCGGCTCCAGACGGGCCTGACCTCACTCGCTCAGTGCTGATGGGGGACAACGCGGCCCGCTCTGGAGGCGTGAGGTCAGAACGGGGGCAGAGCTCAGCAGCCGGGAGCACCAGGAGAAACGCCTTCCTGACAGCGCGCCCGCCCCTGCCCCGCACGGGACGGGAGGGTTTTCAGAGAACAGGGACTGGGACATCTCCCTTCACAGCAAACGTGGAAAAATACCGAGAGAGTAGAAGGGAACGGTTCTAGCAGAAAAGGCAAAGGAACTTGTGAAACACTTTTGCTGAAAAGAAAGAACATCAGGGCCCAGTTAAAATCAGAGGCTCTGGAGCCTGAGGTCAGCATGCACCCCAAATCTCACACTCACACTGGGTCCCATCAGCCCCACCATTCATACTGGGTCCCATCTAAGTTCCACCAACTTAGAGCTGGGCCTCAGTTTCCCTGCTACAGAGAGAGAACACTTACACCTACCTCTTAGGTTGTTTTGGGAAATAGACATATAAGCAAATAAAAAATGAGCCACTGAGAGCAGTGCCTGGCACACAGCGAGCCCTCGGTGGGCGTCAGAAGCGCCGTGGTCATGGCGGTTATGTTATACTTACTCCTCCAACCCCCCAACACACACAAACAGGACATTCCTGGGCCTCCCTCTGAGCCTGGGACCCACCCTGGCCCAGGCCCTGCCAACCAGGAGGGATGGAGCCGCCGGCCCATCCCTGACGAGCTGATTACTGGTGCCTTGACCTTGGGCACGTGCCTGACACTCTCTGTGCCTCAGCTCCCCCCACGCCCCCCCCCCACCCGGAGATGATGGCGCACAATTCGCACGGCACAGCCTCCTTTAGCGTAGAAACTACTGGTTCAAGAAGTGAAAATCCTTCCCAGAGCAGATCACATTCAACTCGGGACTGTAACGTGGACCCTTCCTGCTCACTGCCGGGCAGGGGCCCGAGAGAGCCCAGCCCTGAGCCCCTCGTCTGCCCCCCATAATGTGGTGGTGAAATGGTTCAGAAAACTAACATTCATTCTTCAGAAGCAAACTGTTGTGACTCTAAAAATCACTTTTATGAGACTCCTAAAACATACAGATACACCGTTGACTTAATAACTGAAGTTTTGGTCAATAAGTTAAGAAGTCGTACAAGGCGACAAGTGTAACTGCCAGAGGAAAAGAACTAAGAGAGAAGATCTGTCTCTCCCTTCTTCCCGCAGGAAGAAGCCCATGTGCCTGCCCACGGCCAGCAGCCTGTGCTCAGCCCGGGGCCCACTCACCGTCTTCGCCGGGGGCTGGGGCTGGCTTGGAGGCGGCAGGAAGCCCGAGCCCGAGCCCGAGCCGGAGCCCGAGCCGGAGCCTGCCGCGAGCGCAGAGGAGCTCTCCTTTTTGCCGAGCTCTGGGAAAGGGTTGGGAATGGCCGGCAGCGACGAGGTTTTCAACTGCTGGTCTTCCTCCTGCAGGCGCCTGGGAGGAGAGATGACCACTGGTTAAAAGCTGCCGCCCGACACGACCCGGCAGTCCCACGCAAGACATAGAGGCACTCGAATAGGTCAGTAAATACGGGGTGGTCACAACAGGACTATTCACAACAGTCAAAGGCAGAAGCAACCCGCGTGTCCATCGACGCATGAATGGATGGCAAAATGGGGTCCATCCATAAATAGGGGATAGTATTCAGTCTTGAAAAGGGACAACATTCTGACACATGCTATGACATGGATGAGCCTTGAGGACACTTTGCTAATTGAAAGAAGCCAGTCACAAAAAGACAAATCCTGTATGAGCTCACTCCTCAGCAAACTCAGAGACACAAAGTGGAAAGTGGGTGCTGGGGCCCGGGGAGGCCAGATGGGGCGTTCGTGTTGAATGGGGACAGTTTTAATTTTGCAAGATGGCCAAGTTCTGGAGATTGGTTGAATGACAATGTGAAGATATGTAACACTGGAACTGTACCCTTAAAAATGGTCCAGATGGTCACGTTTATGGCATGTGTATTTTGCCACAATTAAACACTTGGAAAAAACGACCATCTCAGACTCACAGGGGAAAGGCTCCCCGACCCAGGCGAGAAGCGCTCGCACACGCCCATCGCAGACGGTGCCCTCAGCACTTCTGTTCCAGGAAGACCTGCCATGCGGAGAGGTTTTGTGAATAAGGGCATTCTCACGAGCATAACAACTGCTTTCCGATGACCTTGAATGAGCACTTCTCTGACCCAATACAAATATTCCAAGAGACTTCCTGCACCCTCATCTCAAAGCTTAGTTACACAAAGAGGCCGCTGAAACTGAACTAATTGGAAAGCAATGCTGCACGTGGCCGTCCACCCTGAAGCACAGAAGCCCGGGCCGGTGCCCTCCCAGGAATGCCCTGCTGCACCCACTCGCACCACCGAGAGCCACTTCCTAATCGCACTGCACCGCCCTCTCCTTGGCGTCTCTCCAGAGCTCCCTCCTCCCGGGAACACAAGCCTCACTTGTCATACAACCAAGCAAAACATACACAGATGATGAATCAGATGTAATTAGGAAAACAGCAGAAAAACCAAGTTCAAAGTGAAAGCGAGAACAGTGCAAAGTGCCCTGTTTCCTCGCCCCAGGGATCCTGCGGGCAGTGGCGGCCCACAGGCACCGGGCTCTGCTGGGAGGGAGCCCGCTCCCTGTCCAGGCGCTGCCCTGCGGGGGCCGCCTGGTCCCTGTCCCCGCTGGGCATTCCCGTCCTTCTCTGCACAGACCCCGAGGGGAACCGCTCCTGCAGACTGTCTTCCCATCACTCTCTCGCTCATTTTACAATCTGGCTACACGAATGGTCCATTCGCTTTCTTGGGGAGGATGGGGAGAGGGCGGTGCGCCAGGACAGAAACAGACACGGGGACCCTCGCACAGGTTCCCCGGGTCCTGCAGGCCCGGGCGGCCGTGCCACGTGGCCCCGGCAGGGATGCCCATGTCCACCGTGCGTGCTGCCACGGCACAAGGGAGCCCGGCGCCTGGAAGACGTGACAGCCGCCACCCCGACACCCCGCCAGCGGGTTCGTTTCCCTGCTGACAAGTCTCCCTCTCCCTGTGACAGCTTCTGCCTGGGCGGACGTCTAGCTGTCATGTGTGTCCCTGGCCCGGACACGCCCACCTTCAGTGCCTTCCTGCCCAGACCTGGAACCAGGGGCCCAACAATGTGACTTGGTTTTGACTCCTAGTAGGAGATGCTGACGTTCTAACGCTCCAGTTGTTCACAAAACCTCCTCTTTTGTAGGCTTTCCTGAGCATTTAAAAAGTCCTATGTGTTTTAAGGCAGTAAAAATACTGTGTGTGAGATTTTAAAGATGGATTTATGTGGCCATTCATCTGTGCAAACCCACAGCACGTCCACCACCAGGAGGGAACCCTAACGGGTAAGAGGGACTTTGGGTGATGATGACGTGTTAAGGCAGATTCATCGATTATAACAAATATTAACAATACCTCTGGTGGGGATGTTGACGATGGGGGAGGGGAGTGTACAGGAAATCTCTGTATCTTCCTCTGAATTTTGCTAGGAACCTAAAACTGAATTTAAAAATAAAATCTTAAAAAACAAACAAACAAACAAAACATTATCCTCAATGAAAAAGGCTGGATACATAAGGTCCCATGTTACAGGGTTCCACTGAGTGGAACGTCCAGAACAGATGAACCCACAGCAAGGCTGTTGAGGGGCGGTGGCCGGGGCTGTGAGCGCGGACGGGGCGCGCTGACGGGGGAGGACTTCCTGAGGACGGAAGTGTCCTGCAGCCAGAGCGAGGTCACTGCACACGCTGGGAGTGCACTGAGTGTCCCTCAACTGTGAGCTTCAAAGTGCTTCCTTTTATGTGATGTGAGTTTTGCCTCCATCAATGATGTCTGAGAGTTGACTTTACAGCAGTTCACAAATACTGTCCAAAGCTAAGCTAAGGGACATCACAATGGCTGAGACCCAGGGTGGGGGGTGCAGGGAGGACAGCCCTCCCCCGCTGCAGGAGGCCCGTGGGGACCAAGCAGACAAGCAGGGGGCCGCGGGGACGGAGCAGACACCGGGGTGAGGTGTCGTGGAGATGGAGCGGACACTCAGGGTGCGGGGCGTGAAGACCAAGCAGACAAACCGGGGGCCGTGGGGAAGGAGCAGACACTGGGGGTGGGGGGTGCGGG